CCAAAATTGTGAATTTTATGGCCCCAGGGTCAAGGGTTCTGGTGTTAGGGGGGGGGGGGCTCTATTGATTATATAGTGAAAATACATGGATTCTTTGAAAATCTTCTACTCTGCTCCTAGGTATTAAATAAACCAACTAAGTGCATAGTTATGATGAGCATGAGTGCCTCTACCAAAATTGTGAATTTTATGGCCCCAGGGTCAAGGGTTCTGGTGTTAGGGGGGGGGGCTCTATTGATTATATAGTGAAAATACATGGATTCTTTGAAAATCTTCTACTCTGCTCCTAGGTATTAAATAAACCAACTAAGTGCATAGTTATGATGAGCAAGAGTGCCTCAACCAAAATTGTGAATTTTATGGCCCCAGGGTCAAGGGTTCTGGTGTTATAACGGAGCTCTATAGATTATATATTAGTAAAAATACATGAATTCTTTGAAAATCATTTTCTCTGCTCCTGGGTATTAAATAAACTAACTAAGTGCATAGTTATGATGAGCAAGAGTGCTTTTACCAAAATTGTGAATTTTATGGTCCCAGCGTCAGGGTTTCTGGTGTTAGGGCAGGGCTCTATTGATTATATATTGAAAATACATGAATTCTTTGAAAATCTTCTTCTCTGCTCCTAGGAATTAAATAAACTAAGTACATAGTTATGATGAGCAAGAATGCCTCTTTTAAAATTATGAATTTTATGGCCCCAGGGTCAGGGGTTCTGGTGTTAGGGGGGCGGGGCTCAATTGATTATATAATGAAAATACATTAAATCTTTGAAATTTTTTTTCTTTGTCTCTGGGTATAAAGCGGATGAACTACCTCTATAGTTATGATGAGCAAGGGCCCTAATCTTGCAGAATTGTGAATTTCATAGCCCCAGGGTCAGGAATGGGGGCTCTACTTATATACTGATAATGAATTTATTGTTTGAAATCTGCTCTTTTGTGTTATAAAACATTTATTTATTTTTTGATATTAAGGGTGCCTTTTTGAAATTTGTGTAATGTGTGGACCTAGGGTCAGGGGTTTATGTCACAGGGTTAGGGGCACTACTGGTTAGTTGGAATGCATTTTTGTTCCCCTACCCTGCATATGGGTATTCAGTAACCAAGCTAAGCAACTGCTAAGTGTATTGTTATGATGATCAATGGTGCCTCTTTCAAAATTGTGAATGTCATATAGCATCTGGCTTAAAACATGAATCAAATTCAATAACTGGAAAATTGTTGCATAATGCTCAGGTGACCTATAAGGCCCGTGGGCCTCTTGTTATTTATATGTCCGTAAACAGTGTCAAAGCTCTGCTCGCTGACTGGAAAATACAAGTGTACACCGTAATAATTAAATCAATGAAGCTGAAACTTCAGGAGTACTATTACGTTATAAGAGCGTATGCGAGAGGAGGTTTGCGAGGAGCGCTGACTTTTACAGTCGACGGCTTACTTTTACACTAGGCCAATATACGGAAGCTATTTTACGATGTAAATATTTAGCTCAACATTTGATTTTGAACAAAAATAACGGTTATTCCAAAGCAACAACCTTACTCCCAACTCCCGACTTTCACATGTTAGTGCCCATACCTATGACCACTAGAGAGGTTTTCTATCTATTGTCAATCCTGTACCTCCGTACATTATACAGATTTAAATGTCAACCATTAACTGCAAAAGTCAGTGCTTCTCGCAAAAGTCCATTCATCAAAACTCTTAAAAAGTTTGATGTACATTTCTTAAAATTTTAACATTGCCTATAATTTTGAACCCGTAAGATTGGCACTTTCATTTATTAATTTAATTGACAAGATATATAAAGTATTAACATTTGTTACCTTGGAGTTTAATTATGTTCCCCAAACGAAGTTGGGGAACATATTGTTTTTACTCTGTTTCTTATTATTATTATTCTTATTAATATTATTATTATTATTTTTCTTCCTGGGAAAATCTTTTCCGCGAGTGATCTTGTAAACTACACATCCGACTTAGGTGAAACCTTTTTAGGGTAAGTAGGCATGTTATGTAGATTTGCGGAATCAAGGTCATTTTGCGCGCACGTGCTTGCAAGAGCGCGCACGTGCAAAACTTAAAATGACCAATATATGATGGATATAACCGTAACTTTTCTATTTTGAGACGAAATGTTTTGAAACTTACAATGTAAGGATATATTAGTAGTATGCACAAGATGACATGGTCAAAATAGCAAGATCGCACGCGCATGCACGTGCACTTCGCTTTGATTGGCTGAAACTAAAGTCTCAATATCTTTTTTGTTTTTTGATAAAATCATTTGAAATTTTGAACATAGTCATACATTAGGGAGATCTACAGCCTGTAATATAAGATTTATCATGAAAGCATGTGCATGCACATGTGCTTGCAAGAGCTCGCACGTGCAACACGAGAAATGTCCAATATAATTGATACAGACGTAACTATTTAAATTATTGATGAAATGCTTTGAAATTCATATTATAAGTATATATTAGAAGGATAGACAAAATGACATGGTCAAAAAAGTAAGATCTCACGCGCATGCACGTGCGCTTCGCTCTGATTGGCTGAAACTAAAGTCTCAATATCTTTCTTGTTTCTTGTCATAATTCTTTGAAATTTTGAACATAGACCTACATTATGAAGATCTACAGCGTGATATATAAGAATTTTCATGAAAGCATGCAAAATTTGCTCTCCACCGGCATGCCCGCGTGCTGCAATCTGATTGGCTGAAACTTTAAATGGCTATATCTCCTTTGTTTTTTGACGAAATGCTTTGAAATTTAAAACATAGTCTTGCATTAGGATATACTACAATATGAGGTAGAAAAAAAATCATGAAATCACGCGCATGCACGTGTGCTGCAATTCGATTGGCTTAAACTTGAAATGGCTATAACTCCCTTGTTTTTCAACCTAACAGGATGGGATTTAGAATATAGATAGATATAAGGGACTCCTACAAGAAGGTATGGTCATCATGCACGTGCACGCACGTGCGTGCATTTGGAACGAGTTAAATGAAAAATACGTTTGAAAGAGTGATTTTTCATACTTTTGGACTGAATGCTTTAATATATTGTATATTAAGATATGTAGATAGTTTAGACAAGATGATATGATCATAACGCACATGCATTCACATGCGCACGGGTGCAATGCTAAAATTTGAATATAATTGGTATCCTTCTGAGAAAACGTTGTTAATGTCAAAAATGCACAGAGTTTGTCTTATTTAATGAAGCTTACAGGGAATATGGCACCAGAAAAAAAGTTGGGGAGCGTTTGGGGAACATCTGTAACGGTCCCCCGTTACAATTAGCACTAGTTGTTCTAAATTTTAAAAATAAAAGGGAACCTTTGCCATATTTTCTGAATTGTTAATGCTTAAGCTTGCATATTTTAAATGCGTTTTCCTTGGGACATAAGATTTATTTGTGAACAAGTTTTTTTTTTGTACTCATGACTCTAAATTTTTTTAGATGTTTTCCCATGGCCAAGATCTGAAAATTACTTAGATTTTCTGCATACACTTTCATAAGAATGATGAAAGTATATACTCAAGACTCTCGCAGTTTTTTTTTCATATGAAGAAAATTGAGCATCAGCAGCAAAATTGTATTTGACCAAGTTCATCATTTGAAACCACATTAAAATTAATGGTCCTATGACACTAAACTTGGATACAATCATTGGTATTTACCCATTTACTTTTTAATATTTTGTACTTAGTTCTCGATCTATCAGATTTTATTAGCTACACTGAATTTTCTGAAAACTGCTGCTTTTCAAAAGAAAATGTTTGTAAGCAATCAAAATCCCATAGACTAATCCATAAAACAATTCTGTAACATGCTGTTTTAATCTAATTTATGTCTCATTAACATTTTTTAACAATTATCTTATCATTGCCTACATGTAAATGCTTAAAGGTAATTGTTATAAATTTTATTTAAATAAATAAATTTGTTACACGACACTAACTCGTCCATATTTGTTTCTTACTTAAACGTTTGTCTTTTTTATTTAAGAGCTCTTTCACATGGTCAAGGAAGAAAAACCAGAGAAGTGATGTTGTTTAACCCAGATCTTTGATCTACACTGAAACCAAAACACAATCTTTTTTTCTTGATATTTCGAAGCACTGTAATGAATATCCGGAGCGAATTCAACACCGTTATCAACATCATCTGTCACACCGAAATAGAATCAATTGCCACACTGGCATAGAATCTGTAAATATATGTAAAGAAAACAACCAGTTACAAGACACTTGCTCATTTTTTGTCACCATGAGACAATTATAGCTTCATTTAAATATGTTGAGGATATTCCATCGAAAATTACCTTTGTGAATTCCATCTTGGGAAAATGTGTTTTTGTTAAGTCTTCATTGGACATCAATAAAGAACTTGAATTTATTTTTGTTCTATTTAAATCTTTTTAATACAGAAATAAAACTTAAGTCCCATTATTATTTTAATTAGGCTGAAAATAAATTATCTTGATATCTTTAATTTATTTACCATATAGATGATATAGCAATTTGTTACTAAAAATAATATTGATCCCCTCTAAAGAATGTATTTAATCGAACACCTGATGAGTATTTAATAACGAAAAAACTAATGATCATTACTTTTCAAAGCTGTATTTTATTTACCTCATGATAAAAAATTATGTTTTTGAATCACGAATTTACATGTACGCTCACAACAAAGAAAAGAAATAAGTCAAATTATTCATAGTGTTTCAAATCCTTATCAAATATTACATGATTAATAATGGTTGATTGACGAGATGTAGCAGTAGCCAAAAGGTTACCTGTGTCTTGGATCATTATCGTAATTTTCAAAACACATCACGTACAAAGGGGAACGAGAAAGAAAGTTCAATCTTATGGCCATCATTTAGATTGTGGTAATTTTGGCTTTTCGACACGTGTCCTTTTAAAAAAATTATTTTTAATTGAGGTTTTTGACAAGCTGACGTGAATCTTTAAGGAAGTAAATGTATGGTGAAATAAAACTGAAACTAAGTGTAATTGTTCAGTAGGTTGCGTTCGTTGTCTCAAGGTATAACCATGGCAAATGTTCGAATAATATGCGTTGTTTTATTTAGCAGTTGCTTTCTGGAAATTGCAAAATGTGATGGAAATAATCATGTAAGTAATAAATACGTTTTTTAAAATAAAGTATTTTTATGATTCATCGTAAGTGAAAACTTTCCTTATTGACATTTCATCAAACTATAATGATTGAGAGTACAGTTTTCCCCCCAAAGCTGAACGGATCCCATAGGTCCTTGGTCTATTAACATTTTTCGCTAAATTTTGTGCGCGTCTAAAAATGAACAAAACTGGTACATGTATTCGTATATTTAATCTCTTGTTATGTTTTTAAATGTTTGCAATATACCATAAGCTTTTATGTGTATTTTTTAGGAAATCTGTCAGTACCCATTGAAATTGAGGGGGAAGTTTTTTTTTTTTTTTTTTTAAATGATGACCCCCTTTTTCCCTGCAAAAAAATGTGTTTTTATCTTATTTTACATATTGGAACTGCAAATAATTATATTTGGAATATATCCTGTCATTAATTTTATATCAGACTTAAATTGTCGTTTATACATGAATGTGTGTGGTTTAGATGCGGTTATATACTTCATAAGTTTATTTTTAACATTTGATATATTTTTCAGTCTCCGAATACAATAAGTCTTGAGACAGCGAACGCAATTCACCTGTCGCCTGATAATTTGTTAGCAATCCCATCAGAATCGGTGATAGTGGAACTGAACATATACTCAGGAAGGGATGATCCTTATATCCAGATGCCCAGGGCTCAGCTCCATCGCATGCTGCAATCCAGCTTTGGATGGAGGAATCCTGTTGATGTAACCCCTGGTAGGTACATTTTTTCTCTTTTTTTTTTTTTTTTTGCTTTCTTTTTACGGGGAATTTTGGTTTTTGAGAACATGGTTTTTACTAAATATTTTTCTCTGTAAATAAAAAGGATTGGGATATCAAGGCTTCACGGTGTACAACTATGACCAGAACCCAGTATTTATTGCTTGCGGATCCGATATTGGAGTGGAAACTGGACTCTTGCAGAGGCTTAGTTTTGGACTTGATAGAGACCTTCAACAATTCGTTCGGACTAAGGTAAAAGTCTTTTGATAAGAAGATTGAACCTCTGAACAAGATATATAATTAATAATTATCCATACATACATGTATATGGACGACGTTTCATCGAATATCAGTGTATCATTTTCTTGCATACCTACAGTATAAATTTATTCCATATATTCCTTTGAACTTGGATTGATTGATTGTATATTGTTTAATGTCCCTCTCGAGAATTTTTCACTGATATAGAGACGCCACAACTTGCCGGTGGACGGCAGCAGATTTTGCCCTATACTCGGCACTTAAGGCCATTTAGCAGGGAGGGATCTTTTTCGTGCCAGCACCTTCTGCGACACGGGACCTCGGTTTTTACGGTTTCATCCGAAGGACCGGTCTCCATGTCCCATAGTGGAATCAACTCTTTCCTTAGCGACTCTGAAGCAGACGCTCTAACCACTGCGCCACGCGGGCGACCCTTTGGACTTGTAAATAAAACACTAAGAATCTGACAGATCTGTATCATATCTGAATATCTCACTACAAAAAAACATTCCAAAGACTTCTAATTAAGAACCTTGAATCATATTGAGATGCACAAAATGAAAATTATTGCAGTTTCAAGCTTCATTTTGAGACCGTTTTAATTAATAATTTTCAGAGTTATCCTTCCTAGTTTAGGATTGGACATCCCTGAGCTGGTTCACGTAGAAAATTAAAGTGAGGTTAAACCTTAGGCTATGGGGGATCGATAATAAGTTTAAGCATCTAATTTCAGATACAAACAGAATGGGCCCAACGCCATAATCACCATCGACGTCATGGAATGCCGGTACGATTATTAGATATTTAAGTCCATGTTTAAGTAAGATCATAGTCTATGTCAAGAATACTTATTAGCCATCTTTAAAAATGATTTAATAATAGACAGGTGTTTGCATTCAGTGAGTAAACGTAATTATTCTATTTTGCGAAATGAAAAATCTATTTATGGTAGTCACTTATTTGATCATTCTCAAAGCATATTTCTGGAAATCATAAGTATAATTAGTTTTTCTGTCACGCAAGCATTGTTTCCTTTTATAGAACCATGGATTTATGTGTCCCAGACCACCATCAACAACTAAATATGAACCCCACGTCTGGAACAACCGCACATTTGTACAAAGACGTAATAACTGTTACAACTATGCCAGTAATATAATAACAAACACATTTGCCCAGCCAGGAAGAGCAAACAGACACAATTTCACTAGAAACCCGCCCGAGCTGTACGGTCCATCCGTTCACTACGGAACAATACTGGATGGTTTAACTCCCTTACCAGCGAATTCTCGATGTCTTCCTAACGCAGGATTAAACTTGATTGCTTTAGTTATTTGGCCCGGGCGGGACTATCATTTTTACCGCTTGGACAATAACGGGATGTGGTCTCACAAGCCAGGTAGATCTCCTGCAAGAAATGTAGACAATTCTAATAACTTTATATTGGATCCTCGAATAGCTGACGTCGGACCATATACGGTATTCAAGGGCTTTTTTCTTACAAATGTTTTTGATGTTCGACATATCATGTAAAACCTACAATCGACGAAAGGTTCCTCGAATACGTCTCATATTTTGAAAATCCAAGTAAAATGTGCAAAGCAATATGTGTCCTACATTGTTTGGTGTTTTTAATAAATTATTTATTCGGATCAGAATGTTAATTGATTATTAAAGATACAAATGATGTATTACTCTTTATATTAATAATCATGATTGATGCTAATTTATTCCCATTTTAGGTTCTCTTTTTATGACGGAAACATTAATTGCCTTCAAATTTCAATAAATCAACTTAAATGAGTTTCGCTCATACTTACCGCGATTATGTTTGTTGTCAAAGTATAAACATAAAGCTTCCTTTATTTAAACAAATATAATTGGAAGTATTGTTTTCGACATCTATCGAATTATTTTGGGTTGTCTCTCTTAATACGATCTTTTTTACATTGAATATATCCAATTTAAATCTTATTTTATATGTTTCATTCAAAATTTTCATGTATCCGGCATAAAAATGATTTGTTGAAATCGTTATTATAGGAAATTTCAATATTTTATCCGCTAATTCCCCTGTGTTGGCCTTTCTGCAAAAAAAAAAGAAGAAAAATTAGAATTTACACTTCCCCAGGATGCTTCCCTATAAGTTTTAGCTTTTCTGGCCCAAAGGTTCTTGAGAAATTTTTTAAAAAGTTTTCTATACATGTCAATGTAAAACTTGGGATTCCTTATTTGGAACCAGCCCTACCCAGGGGTCATGATCCGAACAAATTAGTGTCTACACTATCCTAGGATTCTTTCAAATAAGTTTAAGTTTTTCTGGCTCAGAGATTCTTCAGAAGAGGAATTTTCATATATATTTCAATGTAAATCTAGTATTCCCTTTTTTGGCCCCGCCCTACCCCGGGGATCATGATTTTAACAATTTAGAATACACACTACCCCAGGATGCTTCCACATAAGTTTCAGCTTTTCTGGACTAGTGGTTCTTAAGATGAAGATTTTTAAGGTTCTTTCCTATGCATTTCCATGTAGAACTTGGATTCCCTATTGTGGCCCCATCCTACCCCCGGGGGTCATGATTTAAACAATTCAGAATCTACACTACTCCAGGATGCTTCTATGTGAATTATAGCTTTTCTGACCCAGGGGGTCACGAGAAGATTTTTTAATGACCCTACCCTATTTTTGTCTTTTTATGATTTTCTCCCCTTGTGATGGGACTTGGCATTTCATTTTAATAATTTAAACTCCTCTTCACCCAAGGTTACTTTGCAAGTTAGTTAAAATTGGCCCAGTGGTTCGTGAGATTCTGAAGAAGTCGAAAATGTAAAAAGTTGACAGACGGACGAAGGACAAAATGTGATCAGAAAAGCTTATTTTAGCTTTCGGCTCAGGTGAGCAACAGTAAGTCAGTTATTTTTTTCAGGGGCTATTATTTCAGCATTTATTACAAAAAATATACCTTATTACTCTAGTTGTCAAATATCTCCAAAAGTCACAAAATGTTAATACAGTTCGGAGTTCAGAAGTTGTGCTTTATCGTCTCTTACATGGACTTTCAATTTTATATGAAAATTGGTATGTAAGACGTCGACAGATCATATAATTCATATAGTTTTGCTTCTATCAAAATTGACCTTAATTTACACGAAATTAGCTTGGTCTCATGGTCATTCACATGTATGCAGATGTATGTTGAAATACAACGACGAGTTGCATAGTATTTGCAAAATCTTTCAAGTTTTTTTCTTACCCAAGATCGTAAGGTTAAAGGTACTCGGACACAGATTTGAAGTTCATATTTTCTGTATAATATCACGATCGCGAATTATATATTTTAATAGCATTTCACACAAAAATTAATTAAAAATCTGATTTCATTTAAAAGTTATTAAAACTTTAAATTTGTTGGCGGGTTCGATTGACACATCCTTGCACATTCACAAATTTTAACTTGACTCTTAATCCTTAGGAAAAGTGGCAATCTTGTTGTGTATTAATGAGAAATATTAAAACTTAAATCCAGAAAAATAATTTTATTCAGATTAGAAATGTTAGAAAGCAAAACTCCTTCACAAGTATCGTCATTTCGTTGTGTACAGAGTTTTGCAAGTCGAGCACACTCGTGTTATGTACACAGTTTTTGTAAATAAGGCAAGAGCCTGTTATTGTTTGGTGTTTACGATTCACCGGGTGCGTTCAATCGTCACAGTCTGCTTACCACAACTGCACGGACTGACAATATATTGTGTGTTTGTTTTGCTTTCGAACATGTCTACTCTGAATTTTCTGGATTATAGTATTAATATTTTTCATTAATACACAAGATTATTGCCACTTTTCCTAAGAATTAAGAATAAAGTTGAAATTTGTAAATGTTCAAGGATGTGTCAATCAAACCCGCCAAAAAATTAAAAGTTTTAATAACTTTTAAATGAAATAAGATTTTTAGTTAATTTTTGTGTGAAGTGCTATTAAAATATATAAGTCGTAATATTACAGAGAAAAAATAAACTCAAATCTGTGTCCAAGTACCTTTAAGTCTATAATTATTCCTATCGCAAAAAAAAAAAAATAATTTAAAAACGACTGTACCGCCATGTTGGTTAAAGGAGTTCTGACTGAACGAAAATTTCACGAAATGTATAATTTTATATACTTTATGATTTAAAAAAAATAGACCGATTAAATGTTGTTGTTGATCTAACAAGATCATATGATCAAATCAGAGAAAACCTTATAGAGCTGGAATGCACATGAGCAAATATTCACTGAGTAAAGAATAAATTCCGGGAAAATTTGTCCCACATTTTCATCTTCTTCTCGAGAAGTACTTGGCCAATTTTAACCAAACTTGCCAAAAAGTATCCTTGAAGGAAGGGGCCACGCCCTCTTTCAAGGGGAGATAATTAAGAATTATTGAAAAATAATGGCATTTTTAAATTTTTTTTTAAATCTTCTCAAGAACCACTGGGCCAGGAAAAATGAAACTCAAGCGGAAGCATTCTGAGATAGTGTAGATTCAAGTTTGTTCAAATCATGACCCCGAGGGTAGGGTGGGGCCACAATGGACGGTCAAAGTTTTACATTGGAATATGTAAGGAAAATCCTCTAAAGAACAGCAAAGCCATGATTGGTCATATATATTGGAAGAATCCTCAGGTGGTGTAGATTCAACTTTATTCAAATCATGACCCCCGGGGATAGGGTGAGGCCACAATGGTCGATCAAAGTTTTACGGTACATAGGAATATATAGGAAACATCTTCAAAAATCTTATTCTCAAGAGTAGAAAAGCCATGGTTAGTAATATTTATATGGAAGCGTCTTCAGGTGGTTTAGATTCAAGTTTGTTCAGATCATGACTCCCGGGGGTAGGGTGGAGCCACAATGAACGATCAAAATTAACATAAGAATGTATAGGGAAAAGCTTTAAAAGTCTTCTTAAGAACAGCAAGCCATGATTGGTCATATTTACTTAGAAGTATCCTCAGGTGGTGTAGATTCAACTTAATTTGTTCAAACCATGATCCCCTGGGGTAGGGTGGGGCAACATTGGTCGATCAAAGTTTCACAATTTATAGGAAAATGTTCTCAAAAACAGCAAAACAAACAGGTTGTGTGTATTCAAGATTGTTCAAATCATGATCACCAGGAGTAGGGTGGAGCCACAACGGTCGATGAAAATATATTTTGTTTTCTTTCCTATCCAGTGCTCAGGTGAGCGATATGGCCCTTGGGCATCTTGTTTGTAATCGATCTAAGACATGTGATTTGTTTATATATTTCTTTATTACATGCATGTACTGCAATTGAATTTGGAGTATTCCAACTTATTGATCTATACATTTGGCTCACGTCGGGCGGATGTGACCATTTAACAGAGGACGCTTGCTCCAGCTGGGCACTGGGTCCACATCTGGGTTTACCAGAGGTCGGTGTTTAAGCTCTGTTCACAGATTTGTCTTATTTCTTGTTTTTTGAGCATCGTTCGTAATCCTCATCTCTTTTAATCTATTTAAGGAATGAAGTTTATTTTAATTTATATGATACACATAACTTCTGAAGTGTAGCTCTCTGGCTGAGAAAATTCGGACAGATAAAATTCTGCTTTATCAGTCCGAAGTTTCTCAATCAGAGAGAGCTACTGTTCTGCAACTATGATACAATATGACAAACGTATATGTAACTTGGGGCAATTTACGCTTTAAAAGGGTTAACTGTTCTAAGTTATGTTATATCGTATACATGCACCCAGGTTAAAATAACATTCATTCCTAATAATTTCATTTCAGTGTAGACAATAAGACATTTTTATGCCCCTGGATCGAAAGATCCGGATATATTGTTTTTGTCCTGTTTGTCTGTCTCTCTTTTGTCAACTTTAACCTAAGCCCATAACCATTGCGCTGTCAAAGGTACGGCTTTAATATTTGGTATGAATGTTCATTATGACTTTTACAGCAATTTTGGATCATATGACCTCAACTATGACCTTTGACCTACATCTGAAAAAACTTTAATATTGGGCATAACTATTGCACTGTAGCCCTTAGCTATTGCGCCATCTAAGGTAATGCATTAATACATGTATATGGCATGTGTGATTTTACACTTCAGAATTGTTACCATTGGGGGCATGGTGTTTCACAAACAAATCTTGTTTCCTCCCAAAATGGCTCAGTGAACATATTTTCAAAGTAACGTCAAGCGAATTAATACGCTTTGAACATTAACTCACTGTAACGTAGGGAACTAATGTTATATAATATTTATATATTATCCAATTAAATGACTTGTTACAACTAAATTTAAATTATTATTGTTAAAATAAAAGTCCTCTTTAGAGTTATCAGAATTGTTCAATCAATTTTTTAATAAATAATTCTAATAAAAATCAATGGAAAGACAGTGCTAATCAGAAGTGTTAATACTGTAACAGGTTAAGGCTTAGATTTCTGTATAACTGTATCTAAAACTAATAAAACTCAATCAGACATATCTTGTTTGCAAAAAAGAAACAGCCAAAGAATTGCAATGAAATTACTGCTATTCATTTCCTGAGTGTGGAAAAGAAATAGGATCTCTTACAGAATCGTACAGGATGAAAAAAGAATACCTATCAAAAGTTAACAAAGACAGAAAGACG